TTAAAAAATCTATTTAAAAATAAATAAATAAATAAATAAAAATACATCATAGAGGGCCAGTGAGATAGCTCACAGGACTAAGCACCTGCTTATGCAAGCTCAGGGACCGGGATTTGATCTCCAGCACCACATGCCATGCAGACCCCACCCCTGGGCATGCTGAGCCCACCACCTAGTCCAGGCATGGTGGCGCACACCTGTAACCCCAGTACTGGAAAGGCTGAAAACAGGAGGATCACTATGAGTCTGAGCTGCGTAGTGAGACCCTGTACCAAATGCATTTTTAAAAAAAATCATAAAATTCTAATGCATTTGGCCATTTACTAGGGACTACTGGGTATCAAACATCCTTCTCCAACATCTCCTGGGAAATGGGGTTATTCAGAGGACAAAACACAGTGCTTTTACACAGAGTATCTTTTTCATTGTCCTTACATAATCTTACCATTCATAGTATGGAGCCTATCAGCACATAACTAGTTAATTACTAATGTAACTATTTACCATCTCAATTTTTTAGTTAAGTGAAATTTTTTATCTCTTTTTAGTTGAACTCTAGTAGTGAAACAAAGATATCCAGTGTGGCATAATGGGTTTTAAATCCATCCTTTAAAAGTTCAGTATTGAGGGGGTCAGGGAGATAGCTCAGTAGAACAAGTGCTTGCCTGGCAAGCACAGGGTCCTGAGTTCAAGCTCTGGTACTGCAGAAAAAAAAAAAAAGTTCAGTGTTGAAGGTGTAGATAGTACAGGGAGGTGCTAGCCACCACACAGATTTATTTCTAGAAATAAAACTATACCTGGACTGGGGCAACAGCTCAGCAGTCTAAGTGCCTGCCTGGCAAATGCAAGGACCCAAGATCAATCCCCAATACCTCATGCCATGCTGACCCGAAACCAGTGTTGTGGAGCACACCTGTAATCCCAGTTCTGGGGAGCCTGAGACAGGAGGATCACCACCAGTCTGAGCTGCAGAGCAAGACTATATCCAATAAATAAAAAAATTAAAAAACCTACCCCTAACCCTAATTGTCCGGCCTCACCTGAGCAGCCTACATTTAAGCCAAGCGCTCTGTGTACTGGTGCGACTTTGTGCAAGTCAGCACACCCAACTCCAAAGCCTCTGCTCCTCAGAAGATACTGACTAATTTTCTCAAGTTCATGTCACTAAAGGTTATGCGATCACAGTAAAAACAGCCTCAGGTAAACTTACAACTTGTGGTATTGCTTCTGCCCTGAAGAGAAACTAGTCATCTGACCTTTCAGGGTTCTGCTGGTGTTTTTAAGAGCAAAACAGGTGATACCTATGGAAAATGGATATGCAGGTAATTACTTATGGAATCCAGCTAGCATTACCTCTATTGGAGACAAGAATGAAAGGCAGGGGCTGGGGTGATGGCTCAGTAGAATAAGCGCTTGGGCAAGGGCCTGAGTTCAATACCCAGTTCCACAAAAAAAAAAAAAAAAAAAAAAAAAAAAAAAAAAAAAAAAATGATAAGGCAGCAGTAGATAAAAGCAGTTAGGACTTCAAAACTTCACACACTTTTACTTCTCCCTTCCTGAATTCGTCTAAGGACAGGCAGCTACTAGAAAATAAACTTGATGAAGCAGAACTTTTCCAAAGATAGACAACAAGAGAGAGACACACTAGCCCAAAGTTTCAAATCTGTATTATCTTGGAAAAGGCAAATGTGAGTCCAAAAACTTGTTCCAAGAACTCTGAACTAAGTGATTCTCCTCCAACCCCAAAACACACCACACCAAAGCTAAAACATATGGGGCCCAGGAGATAGCTCAGTGGAATAAGTGCTTCCCTGGCAAGCACAAGGGCCTGAGTTCAATCCCTGGTTCCACAAAAAAAAAAAAAA